GCTTCACGGTACCCTTTGGAATCTTTAGCAATGAGCTTTCTTACCTGACCTTCAAGTATTTTAAATTTGAAATACTGACTGGTTTTTTAACATTCATTTTCTCTGAAAATTAATTTCTGACTGCAGTCTGTCCCTCTGTTGTTTTTGACAGGTGTGTCGTGGGTTGACATGCACCTGTTGGCAGACAGGGTACACCTGGAGGAGCTTAAGAAGCTGGGGCTCCTGAAGGGGGACATAGAAGACATGATGAGGGTCCGTCTGGGGGCAGTGTTTATGCCTCATGGTCTGGGACACTTCATGGGAATCGACACCCACGATGTCGGCGGGTATCCTGAGGTGGAAATTTTTCTAAAATTTTCATTAAATTCCTATCCATCAGTACATATAAAATCATGAATGGCATCCTATATGTGTATTAATTTAGATGACAAACTATGCATAACATTGTTTATTTAATGGTTGATGATAATATTTCAAGTCAAAGAATATGACTGAATATAAATGTATGCCTCATTCTTAAAAAGAAGTCTAATTTAACTCTTAAGTTAAATAAATTACCATTCAAAGTCCATGAATTAGAAAGAAACTACTCACATAAGAAGACAGAAAGTTAAATGACATGCAATTCTAATTCTTGTGAACAGTTGTTTGGCATTCTATAAACAACAGTCGTTGATATGAACAGGGAGTGGAGAGGAGTGATCAGCCCGGATTGAAGTCCCTGAGGACCGCCAGAGTTGTCCAACCCCGAATGGTACTCACCATAGAACCTGGAGTGTATTTCATAGATGTGGTAAGTTGTGGGGAATAGCAAGAGTGGCAAGTTCCACTATGGTAATGAATATAGAACTAGGATTTTATATCTTAGATGTGGTTTGTTCTTTAAAATGGTGGGAAGCAAAGAAAGGTACTTTGGATGTACTGTATGTCACTAATTTTTTTTGCATCTTATTCTCATTGGACTGTATTTGGTGCTTATAAGGTGTTTATTACATATAACTTTAGCAAGATAAAGAATAGTTGTGAATTAGAAATAAAACTCTTGCAAACAATAAGTCATTTACTTGATGCTGAATTGAAGTTGTTGAAAGCTTTGTTTTTAATGAGCAATTCTTTTTTGTTTTCAGCTGTTAGATGCAGCCCTTAACAACCCAGAGCAGTCCCAGTTCATGTGCCGTGAGGTGATAGACCAATACAGGGGATTTGGAGGGGTGAGATATTTCTTAAATATCTAGAAATATTTATATCTCAATTTGCATTATATGTATACAAATAAAATTGTAAAAAATCATTTTATTTTATTTGAATTTGAAGACTGTTTTTAATTTGAAAATTCTTCATTCGAATATTCATTACATGAGTAAATATAAAGAACAATATTTTAATGGCAGGTTCGTATAGAGGATGACGTGGCAGTGACAGATGAGGGGATGGAACTACTGACTTGTGTCCCCCGAACTGTGGAAGAGATTGAGAGTCTGATGGCCGAGGGGAAACAACGACCCCAAATCCCCCTCCCACAGGAAGTGAAGTCATAATCGGCTGTTTTAGGGGAGACAACTACCCCAGATCCCCTGCCCACAGGAAGTGACATCACAACCAACTGTTTTCAGTTGACTTACAGAGTACCCATACCATTATATACATCATAAAAGTAACATTTGTTTTATAGATATATTTATTAATTTTCCTTGTCATTTTATTTCTAGTTGATTGAATTTGATAAGTTGTAATGTAATTTAATGTATGGTTGTAAAGTGAAAGACATTTTTGTAAGAATATGCCTCTAAACTAATAAGATTTATTATTAAGGAGGTGTAATATCAAGATGGAATATGTCTCAGAAATTTTTTTTATTGTGAAGACTTAGATTATCTAATACATGAATATGGTGCTAATCAGCCTGTGAGAAGGCAAGCTTGCAATGACATGTGATCAAGATAAATATATTCATTTTTGTAAAGGTACCGTAAATCTGGAAATTTTTACATCGATTTTATTTTGCGAATCTGGGTCAAAATGCTGTTGATTAATTTTTATGTTTCAAAATTTTGTGAATGACCACTAGTTTGTTTACATTTTCTTATTGTTGAATTATTTTTAAAAAAAATATTTTTGCGAATGCAATGAACTCGCAAATTTGCATACATGCCAACTTTCCCGATTTAGGCGGGATCCTCCCGATTTTACCCTTTCATCCCGCCTTCCCGATCGGGAGAGAAAAATTAACCCAATTTCCCGATTTGAAAAAAATTCAGATTTTAAGTTTCCCTACCGCCGAATTTTGTCAATCGGAATAAGAATATCAGAGTTGTTTATTCAATGCACACAGATAAGCCTCATTGTTTATTTAGCATGCAAAGTTAATTATCCACAGGAAATCACTTCTCGCTTCAACGCACACACTGCTGTCCAGGTACAGGTAGCTTATAGCCTGGAGCAGTTAGGGGATTAATCTTTTCAGTTTGAAGGGGTATGCAAAGTGAAACACATAGATTAATGGCTTAATTATTAGTCATTGTATTAAAAACAAAACTTAAAGTCAATAAAATGATAATCAAAGAATAAAATTGGAATCCAAAAAGATCGTTTTTTTTTTTAAAACGAAAGTAGAAAATTTAAAAGCATATATACATGTAGCTGCTGATTTTAACTGCTAATAATAAAAATATTGTATACTTTGTCAATTTAAAAAAATATTCGAAATAATTAGATTAAATAATAATCTCATGTTAAGTACACTGAATTCCCCAATCTCCTATGCAGAGTTGTCGTTCGTTCATCTCTCAGACACCTCTGCAATGGGCTCACGTCAAGATTTTTGACATAACGTATAAAAAGTAATATTTGCAAGTTAATTTCAAATTAAATTAATAGTTCTTGAACAATTTAGTAAATATCTATCTGAAAAGTCAGACATAAACATATAAATTAAATTATAATGAATGTAAACAAACGCACTATTTCTTGTGTTTATCACTGTGATAAACGCGAGCCAATGACAGAGGTGAATGTATGAGCCGATGGTAGAGAGTGTGAATTCCCCATCCCCCTTCTCCCATAGATCATACTCATACATTGTATTTGTTTACATATATGTCAAGGAAATACCAGAGACCCATATGGCACTGCCAAGACTGCAAAAGCTCATCATGTTCATGATGTAGTCTTTTACAATTTTAATTTTTCTTTGGGATGGGTGGGGGTGGAGCTTTTGTTAAAAAATTCATGATTTAATTAGGCAGGCCTATTTCTCCAAATTGTTTTGTGTGTGAGATAAAATTAATTATGCACTGTCTATATACTTACTTATAGGGAATAAAGTGACACTTGATTTCAAGGGTACATACCTGAAACAAAATGTAAATTAATAAAACAGAGTGACAACTATTATAAGAAAGATATTTAAATTTGGGAAAATAAAACTGTAATTTGTATTGTTTTATTTGTGCTGTGGTATTAATAAGTGTTATCAATATTATAATTAAAAAAAAAAAAAGCATTTCATAATCATTTATTTTCACGACAAAATGTCGCGAATTTAAAGCTTTGAAAATTGTCGTCACGCGCAAAATCCCCCATGGGAATTTTCAAAAGTTGGCATGTATGAAATTTGCTAAAAATTTATCTACAGCAAAAATTTCCGGATTTACAGTATATATTTTATTCCAGATGTTTATTTGCCTTAAGCTTACTACCAGTACATTCCAAACTATTGAGTTCATTATTCACAATAATATTTATTCACAATCATATTCAGACATTTTATATGTCACAAACAGTATACAAGTATAGGAAAAATGGTTATATGCGATGCAGAAAAACTTTTGGTAATTAAAAAAACAATTGCAAAGATCAATCAATTAAGCTTTAGGATTTCTATAAAATTGAAAACTTTTCAACTTGCAATTCAATACATATACATGTACATGTATTACACATTTTACCCTGGCAATACAGTAATACATTTGACAATATTTTTCATCTTATGATTTATGGCAGTATACATATATAACAAATAATTGTCTCAGTTTAATTACATGTGATATAAAGCTGTGATTTTTCATGTATATTTACAATACCATGCAATACTCAGAAGTGTATGATTACAGTAGTGCCATATGATTATGTAGACATGTGAAAATGTTACACAGATCCTGAATTGTTCTTTTATCATGAACACGGTCTTTATTCTTTTTCGGTACATAGAATAAATCAATTCCTGTAAAGTTCTGGGGTTTTTTTTTTTCTGTTTTTTTTTTAAGAATTAGTCCCTTCCGTTGTATATCAGTCTTTTCTCTGACTGTGATTCCTTTATTTTTTGCCAACTATTTTATTTAAGGAATGAATTTAATATCTACCCATTTTATACGGTATAAAGTGGGTTTGGGCAGTTTACACTTTATAAACCGTGAAGCAGTTAAATTCATTGCTTATAATTTAATTTTCATTCATTTGACGTAAGAATAAAAGATGATTGTTCTAACAAAATGACTTCAATCTGTACAAAATTTAATTGTAACGTCGGGCGGATTGATGTGTTTTTGACGAAAGTCATTGTGACATAGGCAACCCATTTTATACGATTTAAAGTAAATTTTTTATCCAGTCAAATACAGCGTTACAACCAGAATTAAATTATTAAACAGCAAGTTTTATATTTTATTTTAATAAATTTAATTGGTTGATTCCAACTCAAAATAATACTTTCAATTAAAAACTGAGGATGGCATAGAAAGAGAAACAATTGTATTCGCAAAAGAAAATTGTGAAGTGTAATTTTTTTTTAAATTTTGTTCTAGAGCATGTGTCTAGCACCTCAATCAATTTATAAAATAATTGCTCAACTTTATGGCAGTATACAGTGTATGTAATTTACATGCCAGTAAAGATAGTAATTCTACTTTAATTTTAATTACACTTAATAGATCACAGATGATTTAAAAGTAAAAGTTTAATTAAATCAATTGCATGTGTAAAATTTCTTTTATTTTGTCAACATCCGGTGCTTCTAAACTAACTATGTTAAAGGCACCTTTCTTGTTGACCGTATAACACTATTCCTCTTAGACATGGCTACAAGTCATATATGATTGCACCAAAAAGAGTAAAATGGATTTTTTTTAAACTGAAAAATTGTGCATAAATGCATTTTTTTTTTTTTTCGAAAAGTAAGAACAAATCTATGCCTGACTCTGTGAGCTGGTAAAATCTGATGATTTATTCACTGAGTCAGAATTAGTATCTGTCAGCACCATGCTACCAGGAATTCCTTTTTCCAATTCTTCTTTTCTTGTGTTTGTGGATAAGTTTGCTGTAGTAGTGTTTGAGGATAGGCTTGCTGTAGTTGTTTTTATGGATAAGCTTGCTCTAGTTGTGTTTGTGGATAAACTTGCTGTAGCTGTTTTTGTGAATAGGCTTGCTGAGAATCCGTCACTACTTAGAAAACTATCAAAAAGTGGGTTGCTTTTTGTATTGTTAGATTCGTAGTCCATGTTCGTAACTCCAAATGCCCGAGACCTATCATTGAAGGGTCGTGGGTCTGTGACTCGAACATTAGGAAATCCTAAGTTTGTGTTTGTCATAGGGGACACAAAAGATGACGATGACAACACAGAAGAAGGTTGGTGGTCAGTCACATCAAACTGTGCCATTTCTTTGTCATTTAGAGTAAATGACTGGGTAGAACTTTCAAAGTTTCTTCTGGAAGAATTGGAATTGGTATTCATAATATCATCATACTGGTTTTCTGTAGTCTGACCTAACATGTAATATCCTAAGCGTTGTTGTTTATCAGTGTCTCCAGCATCCAAATATCCACCATCAAGATTTTGTTCCTTGGTGATTGTTTCTTGGGATGTATCATTTTCATTATTTAATGATCTTTTGTCTGTTTTTAAACTTGAAGCTGCGATGCCTTGGTTCTCACTTATCCTATTTTATATACATGAATGCATAAAAGTAAAATAAATGCAAGTTTATTAATAGAAATATATATAATGAATGCTTTTAAAACATTAAAAAATCACTTAAGAATTACGAACCTCTCTGACATGATTCCCACTATGTCACAAATTGATGGTCTGCACGATCTATCGCTATGCCAACAAGGAATCATGACGTCATCATATAGCCAGCCGGGACACTTTTCTGGTTTTTCTGGTTTCTGTCCTTCATTAAGCACACCAAGTATCTGACAGAATAAGGTTTTTAAGGCCATTGTTTATAAAAAGCTAACTTTGATAGGTGAACATTCGCATTCTCTCATTGCAATACAGAAACATCAACAGTGTATACAGTGGTATAGGATGAAGAAAGTTACAGAATACAATAATAAAAGAGAGAAACAACGATTAATTATGAATAAGGAATTTAGGTTCGTTATTCATACAACGTCAGGTAGAACTATTGTAGTTAAATACAAAGATGTTTAAAAGGAATATGAAGATATATAACAGTAACTATGTTCAAAAGTCTATTGGAACAATAAAAATAGGCAGCAGCGCAAAAATGAACTTTTAAAAACATCAGATGTGGGATGAGGTGCCACAGAGGAGTAAACATTCCTTGTCGACAAGTCACATCGCCACATGCCCCTTGTTAATATCGGCAAACTAAAAAAACGTAGACAATTCAGGGTGAAAATAATGGCCTAACAATTAGTATGAAATTCTTCAGTCAAAATTTGACTTAATGAATTATAGACTGAATTTTCTGAACAGGTCATGATATCGACAATAGAATTTGCGAAATGTTAACTTTAAACGAGACTTAATATCATTGTTTCATCAACTTGTTTTCAATAGTTTGTCGCATTTTAGAAAATTGTTTGTACCTTTTGCATGCTCCTCTTGTGTATCGAATAAACCCAATATGCAGGAGATAAGGGATATTGTAACATAAGTAAGGTATACTGGGGATAGAAACATGGATATATAATATGGAAGTCTTCATGTTTATCGCAATGTTTTGTTGTTAGTTTAACATTGACGTATTTTTTGTAAATATCCAAATAAAACCTTTTCAGTAAATGCAGTCTCATTAGATCAAATACTGATGAAATTTTCATACTAATTGTTAGGCCGTGGTTGACTCTGATTTGTCTACAGATTTTTTCGTTACTCCTAATCCTGGTAAGGAGCACATGGTGGATTTGACCGGTCGACAGGGGATGTTTTCTCCTCCATGGCACCTGATCCCACCTCTGATGCTTTAGAGGTTCGTCTTTGCTCTGCTCCAGATTTGTATTGTTTGAATGGATTTTGAGCCTAAATAATTGCTGAAAGTTATCTTCATATTTATACCCCCGCCTGAAAAGTGGGAGGGTATACTGTAATCGGTATGTCCGTCCGTCTCTATGTCTGTCTGTTACGCTTTGGGGTACCATCTCTTAGCCGCAACTCCTCTTATACCACTGAGTGAAATTTAAGTGCACCTCCTATTTTACTTTTTGATCCGACACATAATTTAGGTTTCCCGGCCACAGCAAAACATGGACTTTGCCATTATAATCTTATGGGAGGCGGGGGGTATCATTTAGTGAGCTCATTGCTCACAGTACCTCTATTTCATGTATCAAATTCTATGATATCTTTTTTCGTTATCCTCTTTTTCTTATCATTTTAACCGCTGAGCATCTATATTTGCTGGTAGACAGTCTGTCCCCCAGGATATGCTTGTTCGTAAAAATTCCAAGTAACTTTTGGACAATTAGAAATCACAAGATTTTAATAAAATCAACAGCTTAAAAACTTACGACTTTTCAACTTTATATACAACCATTCCCCACGATAAATTAAAGTCCAGGCTTTTTGATATCATTGACAGCTGTTTTTTTTTTCAATAAAAATGGAACTCGTAAATTTACTTACCTTGTCATTGGTCATTTGCAAAATTATTTTATTAAAAACATTCTGAGTGTACATTCAAGTACTCTGAAGATGACATTAAAAAGATGCTTGAGTTTATAATTGACAACATCTATGTTGTTTTTGGAGACCAGGTTATCCAACAATCTATTGGAATTACCATGGGCATCAATTGCACCCCGTTACTAGCAGACCTATTTTTGAATTCATATGAAGCAGAATTTGTCCAAAATCTTGTACGTAAAAAGAAGAAAACACTTACTGTGACCTTTAACTCGACATTTAGATATATCGACGATGTACTGTCAATTAACAGAGGTAATTTCCATATCTTATGTTGATACAATATATCCTGGTGAGCTTGAGATAAAAGACACCACAAAGTCAAACACATCTGTTTCACATTTGGATATTTTACTCTAAAAAGACGTTAATGGTAATCTAACAACCAAGCTCCATAAACGTGATGAATTTAACTTTACAATCGTCAACTGCCCTTTACTTATGAAGCAGTATACCTTCATCACCTGCATACGGAATTTATATTTTTCAGTTTATTCGAAATGCAAATGCATGCTCTACGTATGAACAATTTCAAAATGATTGACAAGCAAGTTGATGAAACAAGAATATCAGCAGTCTCGTTGAAAGTCATCATTTCGTAAATTCTATGTCGATACAATGACCATGTCAGAAAATAGACTGAGTTTTCATTGCTGACTGACGTATTTCATACTGATTGTTAGTCTATTATTTATATTTCTGAATTGACGACGGATTTTTACGTTATTTCCCGATCATGACAAGGAGCACAGTGCGGGTGTGGCCGGTCGGCAGGGGATGCTTACTCCTCCATGGCACCTGATCCCACCTCCAATGTTTTGGAAATCCATGTTTGCTCTGCTCCTATTTTGTATTGTTTTATGGTCTTTTGATCTTGAATACTATTCGTTATCTCCAAAGGTTTCATTGTTGCTCGATATATAAGTTCTACTATTTATATTGTAAAGATAAAAATACTAAGTATATCAATTTGTACAATCTACATAGAGTTTAAAATATATCAATTTGTACAAATCTACATAGAATTTAAAAGGGGCGCAATCCTTGACATAATGGTTGGTGTCCCTCGGATTCCTCTTCATCACAATTTAACGTCGCGGGTTTGAATCCCACTGTGGGACTTGGAGACTGGTCCTTCGGATGAGACTGCATAAACCTACGTCCTATGTCGCAGTAGATGCTGGCACAAAAAGACCCCTCACTGCTCAATGGCTCTGAGTACCGAGTATAGAACAAAATTTGTAATTCTCCACCGGCAGGGCCGACTTGAACAACTAAATTGTATGACGAGATGATTTCAATTTTTTCATCGTCAACTTTCCTTATTTATGTAATATGAAAATAATATTACCCGATCATGACAAGGAGAACACGGGGTGTGACCGGTCGACAGGGTATGCTTACTCCTTCATGACACATTATTCACTGATGCTTTAGATGTCCTTGTTTACTTTACTCTTTATTTGTACTGTTTGAATGGATTTTTGCTCTTTATCTCCATATATTTCATGTAGTAATACCAGTATCTCGCTATCACCTGTATATGGTTATTTTTGTTCATCTCCAAACTTATCCAATACTAAGGAGCATGATCCAAATACTGTACGCTCTTAAACCGACGTAGGCTACTGACAGATAAATTGAGGTTTCAGTGATTTCAATAACTTTGTTTTAAGTCCGCAAGTTGTAATTTTCATGGTCGTAATAATGACCTTGTCAGTGAATATTACCTATTATTTGGTCGTATTTTGGCTGACATAATTATTTCATACCCATTGTCAGGCCTTTGTTTTTATACAGAATTTGATTACGGAATGGTCTGTCTACCTGGTCAGGTGTGACCGGTCGACAGGGAATATATACTACTTCGTTAGCACCTGATCCATTCTCTGCAATTTCTGCTGGTTCGTGTTTATAACCTGTTCACAGATTTAATATTTGTATTGTTTTAAGATTTTTGTAGATCAGCCATTCCGCTTTTTCTTCACCTTTTTCATTTTACTGGGTTTTTTTTCTGGTAAAAAAAAATCAAGGAAGGTGGATATATGCCTGGAATACTTTTTGGACAATTTGAAATCACAAGACTGTACCAAAAGGACATACGCTAGGTACCTTACCTACTACTTTTCAAGATATTCTTAATTTAAGATTATAGTGCCATTAGATGTTCATTGACAA